AATGGACTTTCTTAGCATGCGAGTGTGTGGATATTTATGCGTCACATGAATTATCAGCGACTAACCTATGCTGGAAATTAAAGGCGTAGACGCTGTACTTTTGTCTTCTAACGAAAAAGCGTTTATGGTCGATATATTTGGTTGCTAGTACAACAGTACAGAGTATTTTTTAGCGTTTGCTCGTCTGCAATACGTCTATAGAACGTTTCCTATCTTTAAGTTTCCCTAGATGTCTTTAAGATGTTTATGATTTAGAATGTATGCAAAACTGACATCTTATTACAGAAGTCTGTCAGATGTTTGAACACAGCAGATAAAGTGATCTTTAACAGACAGCTTGTAGACTTATGTGTGCTATTTCAACGGAAATAAAAACTGGTCCAAACCATGTTTCAAAGCCTGGATCAAGTCACCTTTATTTATCAACGGTCAAGCGTCACCACGCATCACGCAGTGGCTTACCTGAATGAACCAGTGATTCAGCATTTTGAACTAAACAGTTGGGTGGATTATTCAATCGACGTTCTCATCGTTTTGCCCCTGAAAGTTCCTGAAAGAATCTGTGTTTTCGATTAATTGTAGGATTCAATGGCTCAAAATAGTTAAAGGTACTGTTTAAGTATAGTATTCGGATGCAGTCAGTGTTTTTGAACGAATCGGTTGAATCGATGATTCAATGACTCTCTCATAAAAGCAGTTACCACTGATTTATAAGATAATAGAGTACAATATAGTATACTGTAATAAAGTCATTTATAGATCATTGGTAGCTACTTGTTTAATTTCTGAACGAATCCATGTTTAGATTTGAATGGATGATTCACTGAATCAGCCAGACGGTCGCCACCTGCTCTAGTAATTTATTAATTTAAATCTGATTTAAATCAAAGAGACATAGTTGTTTTACCATGTTGTGCTAGTTTGGACAAGGCTTGGTTTCCCTGGACTTAGGTTTAAGTGTCTTACTCAAGGGCACAGTGTTAATGGTTCATGAATCATTTCTTGTGGAGAATGAACCACCTACCTTCTGGTTTCAAGCCCAGATCTTTCAATACTACATCCCACCACTCCTTAAACTGATAGCAGCGGTGCTTTCTACAACATCCACCAGTGTTTATTTTGGCCTAGTCAGTTGTGAGCCTGCCAAATTTGAACAATTCTCCAAAATAACTCCAAATGCCTTGACCCTCCACACTAAGGGTCACGCTGGTGCCCTATGAAGTCAAGCTTTCATGTTCACTGAGCACAACATTCCTCAGGGTTCCTCAAGCCCTTCACACACAGCAGGGGAATGCCATGGATTCAGTGTCGAAAATATTTAATTCAACAAAGCGTCCACTGAGCTTCACAGGAAATGGAAGATTTCTATAAACACAGCGTCTCTTGTTGTTCACATTCCAGCTGCAGTGGGTACAATAGACTCAGCTGCCCCAAAACACATATCTCCAGCATCACACTGGCTTGGCCGCCAGCACAATAACAGCGGCCACATCTCCAATGTTTGGTTTTCCAGTGTTGTGTTCCTGTTGCTGGGGGAGACCCCAAGCCATTGTCCAAGGCACAAACATCCTCACACACTTCCTGTGGGGCGATAGCACAAAATCTGTGAGTCATATTAGCACAGTATTCAAGAAGACTGGAGGGAGTTGATCAGAACCTAAGCAGGCATTGCATGAGTCCTGTCTGTTACAGGAAGCAGTCACAGGGACTTATGGGAATTACTTGCATGTCTGCAATCAGAGCTAAAAGTAATAGTTCTGTCATCATTTACTCACCCTCATAACATTCCAAACATGATTCGTTCTCTTCCGTGGAACAAAAATGGGAAAATATATTTGGATAATGGAACAATGGAAGCTTAGAAGCACCAAAAAAGGGCAAAATTGCACCACAAGAACAGTCCATTCCATTGTTGTTATTGTTAACGAAATAAACCTGTCACTTGTGTGCGTTATGTACAGGTATTCTACAATTTTTTGTGTGGAGAACAGATAAAAATGAAGACTGGTTGTTTGAGACCCAGTGTTTTACGCCACTGACCTTAAACCTGGAGTAACACCTTCTGACAAAATATTTGACCGTTTGTGAAGGGAACATGATATATTTATGCTTGTGAAAGGGTTTCTCTGTTTCCATGAGCATCCACACTAAGATTCTGACAGTAGGTGTGGAACGAATGAGTAAATGTTCAACAGCTGCAAGAGACTCACATATAAACAAACAGAAATGCACACGTCCACTGGGAAATTACAGGGTAAAATGCTTTAAGCTTAAGTCATCAGCAGGTGTTATTAGAGCTGGAGTGATGAATGAATCATACATTCACCTACACAATACAGTAGGTGATCATTACTTAATGCCAGTGTGCTTTAAATGATGAACTTTGTGGTAGGTGCTAATGTTTTCATGTCAACATCAAACGTTTGTTCTCAAAAAGTACAAATTGCCTTCACTGACCAACCATTACTTATCTTTGAATATAATATTGAAAAAAAAAAAAAAAAAAAAAAAAAAAATACACACACACACACACACACACACACACACACACACATTACTATATATATATATATATATACAGTATA